CAGGGCAGGGGGCAGGGCAGGGGGCAGGGCAGGGGGCAGGGCAGGGGTAGGGCAGGGCGCAGCGCAGCGCAGCGCAGCGCAGGGCAGGGAAGGGAACTGAACTTACATCTTAGTGAGGCAGTTGGAGGGATTCTTGGCTGCCTAGGCGGCCACGCGTCACTTGCCTATGGTTAGAGATGTGGTTTGACGTGTTTAGTCCCGATCATCGGAGTCCACATGTCTCAAACTTACACAAACTTTGTCAAACACATATGTTAAAACAAGGTGCTCCCAACGGGTCACCAATGGACAACCCTACCCTACTACTTATTGGAAGTGCTGGGGAAGTGCAAATTCAATCTATATAACGCCCTTGCGTTTGTGCTCATGAGTTGCCCAAAGACTACATGGCTGGCCCAACTACATGGCTGGCAAACATGCGAATAATGGTGAAACTGCCGCGCAACGTTGAGAGTGATATGACATCTGACACTATATAGATGTCTTCATTTTCAATTCAAGAAAAGCAGAACCGTCCCCTCATGACAGGAACATCATTCGACCCGTGACTAGTGACTAATGACACTCAAAGTGAAACACCACCTCAAATATCAACTGCACTGGGTTTGCTACAACCAAATGATTTCCACAACAACAGCTCGGAAAACCAAGGAGTTGATTTCCTCAATCCGTGAATTCCGCCGCGCTCCGCGGATCCTTCTGGAAGGGTGACCAGGCAGGTCTGCGCATTTGAAGGCTCCTCACAGGTCTCTCTGCGGTCCAGGTCTTTGCAGATCAGAAAGCACTCCTGGTTTTGAGTATTTCTTGGGGGTCAGGGGTGTCCAGCTGTGTCCAGCTCATCCACTGGTCGATCGATCTCGTCGATCTCGGCCGATCGTTCCGTCGACGTCGGCGGTTCTGATTCTGGGGTCATTGGGGTGATGGTTCTTCGGTTCACACGATCGGTCGAGGTTGCGACAAAGGCTTCTTGAGGCTGCTCTAAAAGTGATTTGTTGTTTGCGAAGAAGGGGCGCAGCCCCCCCCAAAACGCTTATTGAGATGGGGCCCCAACCACTAAACCTCCTAACTTAGGGATTGTTGCCATCTCTAGTCTCAATCCACTATACTGGCTATAGTCTAGTGGTAGAAACTATGCTGGGTATTATTTATCTTCAGACTATATTAATATCTCTAGGGATCCAAGTACCTTCTCAGAAGGTGATTGGAGACACTGTTATGTAGGTTTGGAGGGCCCAAGTACCATGTGAGAAGGTACTTGGATCCCTAAGGTAATATCTCTAGACTCTAGTCTCGATCCGCTCCTTCGACCGCTGTTCTCCCCATCCGCGCCTCTGGAGCAGCTGAACCTCCGCCGCGCCCGCGGAGTCATCGTCCTCGAGGTCCTAAGCTGAAGCGAAGGGACCGAAGCGACAGCCGCTGAGCCGAACCATGGGGTTTGGCACATGTGACCCAGAGACACACCACAAAATAAAACGAAAAACCGCCACTTGAGGCCAGAGGGGGTGAACGAAAGCTAGCCGGGCCGGGTCGTCTGCTGCTGCTGCTGCTGCTGGCGCTGGGTGGTCTGCTGCTGCTGCTGCGGCGGTGGGTGCTCTGCTGCTGCTGCTGCGGCGCTGGTTGGTATGCTGCTGCTGCTGCTGCCGCTGCTGCGCTGGGTGCTCTGCTGGCGCCGGGTCGTCTGCTGCTGCTGCTGCTGCTGCTGGCGCTGGGTGGTCTGCTGCTGCTGCTGCTGCTCTGGGTCTGCTGCTTCTGCTGCTGCTCCTCCTTTGTGGTTTGCTGCAGCTGCTTGGTGGTAGACTGCAGATGCTTGGTGTGCTGCAGCTGCTTGGTGGTCCCGCTCACCGCGCGCAGGGGGGAGTCGAACCCCGGGGGGGGGGTCCATAAGATTGATTTAATCAATTATTTGAGGTTTCTGAGGTGCGTCCACCCCGTCACTTAACTTGCTAAAGCAAGAGCAACTCCAGCTAGCTAAGGCTAGCTTTCGTGAAAACGCACAGATATTGGCGCCACCCACCCTGAAGGTGTTTGGAAAGATTGTTTTTTTTCAGCACCTGGCTCGAAAGAAGTTGTATAAAGAGAGTGAGTCTCTAAGAACAAGCGCTGGGAAGTGCAAGAGTGCGGACAGCAACGCCTAAAAGCACAGCCGGTGATTTTTTTATACGTTCTTCAAGGTCAACGGGCACAATAGCCCAAAGCAAGACAAAGCAGGATGTCTGCTCTCGAAGGGTTCGAAAGGAGATCTCGAAAACGACAATTCTTCCACCTCGTTGGAGAAATGGGAAACGGTTCTTTACCGATCTGATCTCATTATGTTGGACACATCTTACCCATCTTATCCAACTCATTTATAAGGGCCTTAGGGCCGCCCATTTCAATCAATTCATAGTGGAAATGGGAATGGGGATTCTGATCTCCAAAGAAGCTGGACATCAACTGACTCTCCCCCTGAAGTGCCGCCATTCTCCGGGTCCTGGCAAACGTCAGAGCCCACCTGACAGATCCAGTGCCCGACCGGCCTTGAACAACGGAAGAAGTCTCTAGCTTAGCTTGATTGAGCCCGAAAGAACTTACACTCCCAAAAACTGTCATGGACCCGGGTCGAATGGGACCCTGAAAGATTCTGTTTCTCTCTGTTTTTCTAGGGTCCATGTGAGTTTTCCACGGGGTACAGTAGACGTAAGAGATGTTTGGAGAGGATTTCCCTTTTCAATCCATATTTCCAACAAAAGAGGATGTCGTACCATTTTGTATCCCATCTGTATCGACCAGTCGTGGCTTTATGTTTTTTTGGCCAAGAAGAACAAACAACACCTTCTGAAGGGCCCATCGTCCTCCGTTTCAGGACCGGCACTCCGCAGGACCGGGTTGACCGGTGGATTCGAAGGACCGTCGTCAGGTCGGTCATCGAAGAACCCTTCTTAAGGCAGCAAAACATCTAAAGCAAACAGCTGAGCGGGCGTCTCAAGGAGCTTGGAATTGGGGGTGCCTTCCAAAAAGAAGCCCAAAAAGCCGTGATCAGTGAAAGTTAGGCAATCAGTGAAAGATCTATAATCCCCTCCATCTTCTGTGGCCAAGCACATGCCGTTGTGGAGATGAACAATGCACAAGCTATCAAAGAAACCTTCTTGTGCTTAATTCAGGACGTTGGATCTCACCTAACGTGTTGGCCAGACCGGGCCATCACCAGGATCAGACCAAGTCCGCTGGCCCTACGGCGTTCCCAAGCGCTTCAGTCCAGGCAGGTTCTGATTTGGTTCACCAGAACATCCAGGCAAACCACTAGTTCGCTGGGACCAGTGGTTCCAGTTCGACTCAAACCATAGACCGAACGAATCCCTGGTTCCTTATATAGTGGTAGCTGGGATGCACTGGGTCTTGATTCATACCCCCGTGATTGGGATTGTGAAACCTCTGAGAAAAAGACTCTGAATACCTCTGCATCGCTGGGGAGTGTGATTCACCAACGAATCTCGACACGCCAGGTTATGTAGAACGTACCTGGACCCTCCAAAGTAGAACATGGGACATGAACCACGTTTAAAACAGCAACAGGCACCATCTTGTATCCATGTTCGGTACTTAGGGTCCAGGTGGATACATAGAACCAGTGGGTTCAGAGCAAAAAACATGTAGGGGTGTCAGTGCCATCTAATTACTCTGAAACCCCATGTAACAGCATGTATCTACTGAATGTATTCTGAAATTATAGTGCCTCTCTCCATCTTGGAGGCCCAACCCCGGTCGCCTGGGCTGCCAACACACACAGCGACACCTGCAGGCGAAACCCACAGGGGGCGAGAAACGGCACTGGGCGGTGAACAAAAAACCCCGCTCATGTGGGTGTTTGCCAGCTTTTTGGGCTCTTAAAAGGATTGGTTGCAAGTTGGTCCTTGCCTCTTGTTTTCTATTTGGGGTGTGCTTGCAGAGCTTCCGTGTGGCGCCTTCTGAAGTAGCGTCACTATGCCCGCCATGGCGAAAGAGCGCAGGTGCGAAGCGCAGGCGCTTCAACGCGTGTTGGGTGCTGGCGACCAGCTGCCACTTGTGGCACTTGTGGCTTGCGAATTGAGCAAATCCTTGATCATCCCTAACAAGGGAGCTCCAAAGCCAAGCCATCCATCCTCTGCTTCTGTGCAGCAAATGATCAGTCAAGAGTACATATGCAGCACTGAAACTGAATCCTATGCGCTGGAGGATCTTCTATGTGTCTAGGTTAGGCTGGGTCAATCAATTTCTGATGTAGGAACACTGCCAAGGAAACAAGTGGGTGAAACGGCCGCCGGTAGGGTTTCCGGGGCAGCAAGTAGATTTCAATGGACAGCCAAACGTGGCTGCGGGCGAGTGCGCATCCTGAACAATCAGCCTGCTCCACGGTCACAATCTGAAAGGTCAGGAAGCGGGCAAAATCCGGTTGTGTGGTCAATGCTTCAAAGTACTCCAGGGGTCTCCAGCGGTCATTATGGCTAGCTTCCGTCTGCGCCACCGACTCTACCAAAGGAGACCAAAAAGGGATCCGACTTAGTGAGAAGGTTCCTCTCTTTGCTCTGCACCCACTAGATTCATTAGATGGACAATACATGAGTTTTGGCCAGACACACATGAGTGACTTTGACTAAAAGCTGTGAAAAGTTCAGCTTGATTTAAAAGACTGTTTAATTGACCTGAAAAATAACATCTGGAAACATTAAGCAATTAAGTTCTGAAGCTCTATGACACCTCCCCCTTCAACCCACACTGCACCGACGGTCTCGCAACTGGAGCACCTCGGAGATAGAGCCTTCTGCACTGAAGGCATCCTGGTGATGTGTGTCTTTTCCCTGCGACCCCCAGCACAATGTCATACAATGTCTACTTCAATTCTGCAAACATTGACGCATAGAGAAAATACATTATAGTTACTGACTCCAATATCCAGCATCCATGTAAACAAAACACAAGCAAACTAAGGAGATGAATCAAATTCTTAAGTCAAGGAGATATATTCATTGTTAATTAAATGAGGCTGGCTCTTATGCTTACAATAATTAAGACTAAATAAGCATCTTCCAACCAATGGGATGTGGAGTTCTTCAATTCGTGCACCTCAAAACGCCCGATCTGTCCGTGGGATTCTGTTGTCCCAGTCAGTTGGGCTGGTTTTGGGGTCAATATCCTAGACATATTCATTCCAGTCCCATGGAGTGTGTGGGATAGGGATCAAGATCAAATGCCCTGCAGTCAGACGCAGTCCTTCTCTATCTTGGCATCCTCTGCCTCCTCATTCACCGTCTTCAAGTGGACCTCCAGCAAACCACGAGGAAACTTCGTCCTACCATTGACAGTGGACAGAGCACAGCGTGCGTGGCATCTTCTTCACACACGCACACACGTCCCAGTCCAAGGACGAAGTAAAACATCGTAAAACCTGGGTCCCTTGACATCATTCCCTAGGGATCCAGTCGCATCTTCTGAGGTAAGGTGATGTGTTCGACACTGTTATGTAGGTGCCAGGAATGGTTTGGAGGGTGTCGTACCGAACCTGAGAAGGTATATGGATACATAGGCGTTGAGTACTGCTGCATGACCGGACCCAGTGAACGAAGGTCCGCCTTCGCTTTCTTCGGCGCGCTGGCCGACTCCCGCTACCGGTTCCAAAGTGACCCAAAGGGGTTCTATCCACTTCCAGGTTCATCACCTGCGAAAAAGAATGGCAACCCCCCCCAAAAAAGATGCAAAAAAGATGCAATACCTGCATGAACAATGGGATATTTCATAATACAATATTCATTGATCTGATCGACTGTCCATGGTTTGTCTGTGACATCCTTCCTCGCCAACTCCTAGGCTCCCGACCTCTGCCTGCACACGGCTGGCCAGGCCTCGCCACAAGCCACGGCAGCCAGTGTATTGCAATAATATATATATATATCGTATATATATAATATGCATTCTATGTACAGATGCATCTGACTATACTATTTAAAATGTTTGCAGGGGTTGGCTAGCTTGTAGTTAAAGGCTTGTAGACAGCAAAAGGTTTGCGCACACAGATTTTGCTGATTAAACACTGCGCGGTAACCATGACCATGCGTGACCATGCAACATTTAGCAGCTAGCACATCATAGGATGCTGAAAAACAACATCACCATAATTGTTGGTGGTTCGGTCGGTTGGTCGGTCGGTCGGTCGGTGGGTCGGTTGGTGGGTTGGTGGGTTGGTCGGTGGGTTGGTTGGTTGGTCGGTTGCTGGGTGGGTTGGTTGGTTGCTTCTAGCACCCCTGCCATGGCGCTTGCTTCACACCCCACCTCGGAGGGCGCCTGACTCACGAGCGGCACGGCCTGGTGCCGAGGAGTGGAGCACCGTCTCCCTCGACCGGGGAGGGCGACATGGTCAGACCCATACGCGAAGCTTTTTGGGGGTCAAGCGATCCCACCAATCAGTAGCTCAGGGAATTTGGCAATATCAAATAGATATCAGTAATAGATAGCAATAGCCACATCGGATCGTGGCTAAGCCATACATTAGACGCGCATCTGATCAGAAGGACAAGCCAAGGTGGAGAACATGTGCGAGAACACACACACAAACACACTGCGAGAACTGTACAAGTATTTATCACAAAAAATATCCAACCATAAACTTCACCTAGAGCCCCAAATTGGTGCAAGCACAACAACACCTGTATCAATCTGGAAGCGCATGAATGTGGCTTCACTTCAAGCATGTTCAACCACCGCCACCGTTCTTGCCTAGCGGAGGAGGGCGAGGCAAATTGCTTCTGGCCTGGCTACGGAAGGCACGATCCGCGTGCCATCAACGCCATTGGCCGGGTCTCCGGACATGGTCTCAGTTGAGCCTCACCAGAATCACTCCAGTTCACTTCGTCCACCCGAGATCGTCTGTCCTTCCAAGACGGTTTTAGAGGTTCGGTGGCGCAATCCCCCCAGTTAGGTCGTTTAGTACTGGCCCCCCATCCAAAAGATTCTTAAAAAAGAACAAACAAACAAACATCTTGGGGGTTGTCATGTTTGTCCATCTTCTTTGGAACCACAGAGTCATGTTTGTCTTTTTGGTGTGCCCTTCAACACTGAAGCTCCCTTCATCCGGGACGGCACCGGACCAGTGGGATCCACACACGAGGACTCGACGACGGGTGACCCGGTACCAGGGTTCATGTGGACTTCTTGAGAAACGCACCTATGGACTTCATGAGGAGGTGAGGCAACAAACAATGCCCAATCCCCACATGACGTGTGCAGCTCATGACAGATGGCAAGGTTTTTATGTTTTTGTTCATCAAGCGGGTCTACATGTGTCCACAGGCAGCGGGTCCGGGCCCCCCGAGCCGTCGCACGTTGGCGAGCCAATGCCTGTGGCCGTTGGTAACGGAAGATCGCCGCAGGTCGGGTGGTTGGGACGCACCGTGGGAAGCACGAAATGCAAAGTGAGGGCCCTCTGACGGACCTCCAGGACCTCCAGGACATCTGCGGTTTCATCCAGTGGATCCGAGACCGGGGACGGTATGACCCCCAAATGAACACAGGGTGGGCCCTCACACCTCATCAGCAGAAGAGACACACCTGCTATCAAGTGCAGTGTCCGACCGCAGCACCGTCCCAATTCAACGAAGCTTCCCACACAAAGATTGCTTCCCACTCCAAGAAAGGGCTTGGATATTTGCTTAGGGAGCCGGAAAACGAAAACATAGAACATACTCCCCAGAAAGGATTCACCCATGAGGAAGATATCATCGATCTTAAGCAAACCCAGGAGGGGGAACCAATGAGAGCTGAAAGCAAAGTAAGCCAACGCAACTGGTTGAATCGAGTCTCTCGTCGCGAAACGAAACACCCCAAAACCGCTTCTTTTGGGGTGCCAACTCGACCGCCTCCATGGCCCACCGGAGGACCAGCGCCGCACGGTCCGAACGGCACCTGCTCTTGCCGCTGGCAACGTTCGCGGAGTGCTCCCAGCATCGCCTTGAGGCGCCGTCCGGTGTGAGGCGAGACTGATCAGACTAGGGGGTGGTGGATGTTGGGGGTTTCCACTGTGCTAGGATTTGACACCCTAGGGTGTTTGATTCTGGAAGGGATTTAGTTACAGGTATAGGTAAATCATATGGCATATGGTAAATCTGGGCCCACATTTTGATGTGCCAACAAGGAGTGTCTGGGTCTGGGAACATCTTGGACTGGAAGATGTGTTTTTCACTGTTCCCTCGGAACGAGCCGAAAGCTGTGAGCGAACACAGCGGCTTCTTTTCATTCGTTTCCATGGACGACTGTACGGTCTCTACATGGGCTTGTGCCTGTCTCATTCCATCTGCACCTGGCGTGCCCGTCTCACTTCCCAGTCTTTCGACTTGCACTTGCTTCGGAACTCAAGCAGCCAAGGGCCATAATTAGTATCATAGGAAGGGTCACCAAATCTTCTCCAACATCTCTGGAATTCTGCACTTCACAGTTGACCCTTCCCCTTGGAATGGCCCTCTCCACTGCTTTTGGAAACTCAACTTTGCTGCTCGAGCTCTTTCCGCAAGCGTCCGACGGCGGGATCACTGGAAGCCATCAGGTCGAGCTCCTTGCGGGCCTGAGGGCTGGGGCTTTCAGGAGCAAAGGAGAATGACAAAATCGATTCGGTATATCATATCCCATTCATGTAGACTCTTAAGTGTATAAATCCCCTAAGACCTCTTACAAATGGGGTGGGTTATATGATGGTTATAAAAAGGAGGTTAGGTTGACTGGGACACACCATGACACACCCTACAAACCAAGCAGTTGACCTATCTGGTCTCCCCGCATCTTTAACATCTGTGTGGGGGTGGGTGGTAGTATGTGGGGTGGAGAATTAATGTGCAAAGCAGCAGGATGAGGATGGTTAGCAACCCCAACTTGAAACCTCTTTCCCATTCCAAACCCACTATAGTCAATATAGGCTGAAAAACCCAGGCCTCCTCCTTCCTCTGGAGCCGCAGCAGCGCCGTGGCGCGCCGGTAGTGTGCCTTGTTGTCGGCCGGACTCGCCTGTAAGGCCTCGTCGGCGCTGCGGAGGGCGCCGTCGAAGTCGCCCGCCGCGAGCTGCGCGGCGGAGAGGTTCTTCCAAAGGTCGCACACCAAGCAGGACCTCAAAAGAGCTTCTCAGATAGTGGTGAGAAAGGAGACTTTAAGAGAGTGGCAAGTGGTGACCCGTGAATTCGGGTGCTGGTAGAAGTCGAATGACTGTGTCTTGGCCGTGAAGTAAAAGGAAGTTCCCTCTCAGCTACTCTTAAGACTCGCTTTATGATCCTTGACTCTCAGGGGAATGATTAACTGACTGGTGCTTTGTCTTTCGTGGATGTCTTCTTTTTTTGGGGTCGCTGGACCCGAAGGAATCGATTATGGGGGCGAAACTTCTCCCATCCCCCTACCAAGCACCAGCTGGAGAAGGACGACTCTTCTACGTCGGCCTAGGGGGGGTTCGTAACCGTCGACTGATGCTTCATGTATTCCGAATGAATGATGTGCTTTTCAACCTATCCAACTGCAGGCATTGTGCTGGTTTGTATTTTGGTGTTTCTGTGGCCTCACCCAGTCTGGCAGTGTGGCACCAAAACTAGGTCACAATGAACACCAAACCTTCTTTGGATCAAGGATGGGTCTCATATGAATCATGGCATGTATAAAGAAGTGGCAACTGGAATATGCCCATATCAATCCATATCATATCAAGCTAAAAAAGCTCGCTCTCCATTCTTGCTGCACTGTCAATAGCATAATATTAGCGAACAAATTGGACCAGGAGAAAAAAACTGTTCGACCGACTCGTCGTTGGCCTTCTACATTCCAAGAGGCTGCTTGTCAGCCAATGAGGAACTCATCAACACTGAGGCTTGCTGTGCAAGTTGCAAGGTCTCAAGTCCCTCTTGATACTTGCCTTGGACTTGCGTAAGACACCTGGATAACGCGTAAAGTTTTTCAAGTACTTTCACGCACTTTCTAAAGATTGCCTTTATAAAGAGATGCGCCGAGGACAAACACACACATGAAAACACATCTCCCATTAGCAACACCAGGTTGCTTATTGCCTCCTGTGCTTGGCCCGACTTCAGCAACTCGTTCCCCTCCGTCTTGAGACCGGATGCATCCTTGAAGTTCTGTGCAATGATCTTTTTCAAGCCTCCCATGTTCCGTTCGATATCTTGATCTAGGTCATACTCCTCCCGATCCTTCGTGTAGCCCTCGCAATTGAGCATGGCAGAACCTTGTCCGGCCGAAAGCCGCATGGTCTTCCCCTCTTCGGTGGTGTCTTCATTGTCTAGTTCCAAAAGCGCGGCATCAGCATCAAAGTTCTTCCACTTGGAATAGTTCTGTTCTAGACGACCACCCCCCAGACGTGACCACAGATGGTCTTTCCTGCACAATCTCCACAGGAGAAGGCATGGCTAGCGCAGAGGCAGGACTCGGCACTTCGGCTAAATCCAGAGTGTCACCCGTGGGTGGCTTTGGGGTGTCTCCTTTCGTAGCTCCTTTAGGCTTCATTTTTTTTGCAGGACTTGGCCATTCGTACTGCCTCTCTCCTCCAGTGAGCTTGAATCTGCTTCACCTCCTCAGCAGGCCCACTCAATGCATTGAGGTCCATACCCGAGGAATCCCAACATCTGTCCATGCCACACTCATCATCATCCAAGTCATCCAAATCCTCCTCAAAGTCTTCCCACTTCTGATAATCAGCAGATAACTTGTGACCCGTCGTCTTTCCCGCCTCAGCCATGGCCATGGGTGCCATCGCTTCATCCGTCTCGACCTCGGTCTCGAGCTCCGAGCTCACGATCTCGGCCTGACCCACCTCAACGTCCGAGACCTCAAGACTGCCAGGGCCACCGGAAGAATCTGAGAATGTCTCCCCAAACGCCACGAACCACCCATCTTCTTCCCCTTCGACTTCCAAGACAATTTTCTAAATAATAACAGGTTGACCTGGTGTTTGTAGTGTAAATCCTTAGCTGATTCGGCAAAGCCTATTAAATTAATGGTGGTTGGAAGCCTAGGGTTCTTGCTAAAGATGAACCTTTGGTGGCTTCCACACCCAAGAACCGACCACGTTTCACGTAACCTTGTCGCTGGTCACCTAATTCATCGTCTATTTCGTCGCCGCGCTGGCTCAGGAGCTCACAGCAGCTCCTAAGCTCCGCTTGAAGGGTCCCAGAGTTGTTATAAAGCGCTTATGATAAGCTGCTGGAAGCCCGAAGGGGAGCTCTGTAAGAAGCTCCCCACTGTTCCCATTGTTCCAGAATTCTTCCAAAGTTTCTAAACATCTTTTGGGCACTGCCGCAATCAGGGCAATTAGATTTGGGATACTTGGGATGAATGTATCCAGCTGGGTCGCAAGCTCAACAGGTTCATTCTAATTCCGAGTGCCTATTAGAAAGCCCCCCCCAATTAAAAAATACACCACGTCCGAAACCCTAAATTCGGCTTATATTTGTTTTTAAATTACCGCCCTTTCAAGCCCAAAACAACATGGTCGATATTCGTTGTTGAAAGCTTTGGTTGTTAGTCTAATGAAGAATCAGTATTCTAATAAAGGTTTTTTGTAGGGGAAAAGGAAGACCCTTCGATCTGGAGGTTTTTTTTTTGACTTTTTGATACGAGTTTAGTAATGGATTCTATATACTGATTTTTCTGGATGACGTTTTGGTTTTGAAGCTCTTCCCAGGTGACCCTATTTTGGACCCCACCGATTTCAGGGACCCCCTATTAGAAAAAATGCGACCGAGTTTATCTTTTTAGGGGGGGCGCCGTGTTTTTTAATATGTGTGGACAGGATTATTCTACAATATATGGTTTCAGTATGTCAGTGGCATCCACTCAAGCGCACTCCAAGCTAAGGCAAGTGGGCCGGTGCCTCTTCCCCTTGAAGCCTCGCGATGGCCGCGTCCAGCAGCTCCCGTGGCTCTGCGCCTTGGCTCTTGAGCTGCTCCAGCTCCGGTGCCAAAGGAGCACGAGTCACCTGGGCCTGGGCGTCGCTTAGCGTCCGTCCGTCCAAGTAACGACCACCACAGTGGATGGGTTTGCCAGGCCTTGGGAGAAGGATGTTCCGAAGACTGAAGGATGGGGGGTCCAAAGGATTCACCCATTGAGACCCCGCACCATGCCTATCATGCCTATCATGCGGCACGCTCCTTCCGAATCGATTCCGGCCTGGCTGGTCTTGGGCTCAGGTCGGTCCACTTCAGCCAAGGCTTCGTCCACATCGAAGGCATCCCACTTGGAGTAGCCCAGGTCGTGCGTGTGCCGCGCCGCCGAAAGCATCGGTCCGCTTCGGAGTTTCCGTTTCTGCTGTGCTTGAGATGCGTGTGCCCTCTGAGAAGATCCGGATGCTGTTTCTGCAGGTGCTGTTGTTCTCTCTGGAGCTACTGCCTACTAGGGCCTACTCTAACACATGGTTAACTTCTTCTGTGAGCTGTTTTCGAGGTGAGTGCTTTCTGAGATGGATGAACCGGGTGGAGTTGGGTGGGTGAACGAACAACACCATATCATACAGCTCAGAACTTGTCACATACAGTGTCACACACAGCCGAAGAATCACCAAGCAAGATTGAAAACTGGACCCCCTCAACCAACAGCTCCAATTGGAGTTGAAACTTTCCCGCTTGAACTCGGGACAATGACCGGCAAACTCGCTTCGCCAAGAAGAAGGCTTCCGCAGCAAACCTGTCTTCTTTCGCTTTTCAGCCGTGTTTCTCAAGACTTTCTGGGATTTTCTGTGCCAGAAACCGGGGAATATTGAATAACCCATTCGACCCATTACAGTCTACTCCCCGGTTGGAGGGCTATGACCTGGTTTCCGGGACCTTCACCATCCCCCGCATCGCCCAGAAGCTGGGTGCTCCCGGGCTCTTAACTCGATGGCCTCCTTCTGGTGCCGGGCACCTCCAGGAAGCCGTGGTTTTCAGGGATCTGACATCAGCTGAAACGCTCCTCAGACCTTCAAGTGGCTCAACCGCCAGGTACGCATGGCATTGAGCCGAGCCTCACACCAAAACCATCCAAGACCGAGGTTTTAGAGCTGGATGCTGAGGTTGGAGAGGATCCCTGGGTCCGTCAGACTGTTCAAGGACTCTCACCCCTACGGAAGACACCCAAGTGAAGATTCATTCAGGTTGAACCACTGATTTCATCTGTCTTGTGCGGGGGCGGGGTGGACATTCTATGTTGGATACCTGGATATTGTTGATATTTGTTGATTTATATCATATATCGAAGGATTTAGACAATGGCCATGTGTTTGGTTTGTTAGGGTCGATCTTGGATGTCAATTGAGTACCACATGAAGATGCGAGCAATGTCTCCACTTTTGCAGGGGCGTTTCTGCTTTCCTCCGTGTCACCCTCTTCTGCCTTCTTCCAGGGACATCTCCAAACGAGAGATGACCTCAGCTCCAAAGCACACAAAGCCAAAAGTGTTCGATTGGTTTCGGAAGGGGGGGAGCCCCAGTATGGAGCCACAAACTGTACCCCAGGCATACATACATTGCCTGGCAAAAACCCAGAGAAGGGTATGATGGGGCTCCCTCGCTTGGAGGAGAAAAAACATCATGTGGCAATTGGAAAAAGTAGGGTCCCTATTCTTACTCACACGACTAATGCCGACACGGACGATACTTTGACAATACTTTCGGCAAATGCAACCCCTTGGCGCGAAATTCTTAGGAGTCATCTCAAATCACCCTAGGCTATCCTGGACTACCGAAATCCCTACAAACAAGTGTATACTTATGGATATAGCGTGTATCCCATTCCCTGTAACAGTGGATGATGGTTAGTGCAGGCCTCTCCCTAGTGATTTGCTTGTTTACCAACTGTTATAGGTCGTCATGTCGGACACCCCGTGACTCGTCATCCCATCCTGCCCTCCTTCGTTGCACGCGCACGCCCACCGCCCGGGGCGTGGCCATCTGGGCTTCCGCCTCCGCTGCGGCCTCGATGGTGTGGCTCACGTTGGGACTGGGATCTCCTCTCTGGATAGTATATATAATATGCAGATATGTGCAGTATACATGTGGTTTTCTTTGGGAGGCTCGATTGGACATCCACACCCTGAGTCCTGTTTCGACCAAGCAAGCCTAGTTCGTCGGCCGTGGAGACGGAACACAACACGGTCCTTTCCTTTTAAGAGATTCTGCCCTCGGTCCTGCAAGTCCGCCGGTCACTGCAACTCGGCTAGTTCAGGAGTGGCTGAAGCAGATCATCTGAGCATCTGAGATTCCTGACCCTTGAGAACGTTCTACTTCACTGTTGAAAGCTCTAAACAACACACTTGCCGTGTGATGATAAAGCTCGAAAAATCACAGTCCAGATCAACAGGTTGCTCTGGAAAGGTGCATGAGTCTGATTGGAATAGATGGGAAGTCTGGGGAGTTTGACAGAACTGGGACAGCTCGGAGGGAAGACGGCCCGCTGATTTTCTCACCCCATCAGTCTTCCGAATTCCATCGACCGATGCCCGGGCGAGCCGGCCTCACCACGAAGCCGGTAGAGCTGCACCTGGTTTTTCGGGGACACGGGCCAGTCCTCATGTTCCCAACTATGTAGTGGATGGAGACGGAACAATCCCCAAGTTCGGTGGTTTATATGAACCCCAATTATCTAGAACACATGTAGGGGTGCCGGTGCCATCGAACCTCTGACACCACCACATGTCCTTCATGGAAAAGCTGCGGCACAACGACTTTACTGCGCCACCTAAAGACCCACACCGAGGCGATTTGGAAGAAGGCACCCGCCAGGTGGAGAGACCCCTCACCGGACAGGTGGAGAACAAGCGAGAGAACCTGTTGAGTGACACCATGAGACAAGGCTCTCTTTCAACCAGTATCTTGAGGAGGAGGACGAGGAGGAGGAGGAGGGGACAGCTCTGAATAAAATCTAACAATCCTCTCCTGGCAGGTGGGGAACATACACAAAACACAAACCTCCGGTTTTCGCTTTCGCCTGCCTGCTGTTCCCCCGCAGCCAGCTGCGAAGACAACAAAGATGCCTGGGGTGAAATGGCCCCAACGCGCCAAACAAAGAGATTGAACATTGAGGGCACCACTCAGGTCTTGCTCAAAGGCAGCCGCTAAAGGTTGCGGAGTGATATTAAGAAAAGCCATGTCACTGCCAATGCAAGGTACCAGGACCCTCCAAGGGGTGTCCAATGAACTACCCCACGCTACCTATAGGCTTCCCATGGTACCTATAGGTGCCCAATTGTATATGATTCTTACGGCGCTCACAAAGGTCCATGACAACGCTCACAGCGTCAAAGACACCGTCACCCACATGCTCTTTGACTCCTGGATTCTTAGACTCGACCGACCAAGGTGGACATGAGACGTGAGAAAGAGTGATCAAGGCCAAGCTTAGCACCAGGCCCCAAATTCCAAAAATCTCTTTCACTCCAGGCTGGAAAGGCAAACCCTAGGGATCCAAGTACCTTCTCACAAGGTGATTGGAGACACTGTTATGTAGGTGTCAGGAGGGTCCAGTCGTACCTTCTGAGAAGGTACGACTGGATCCCTAGGGAAAGTAAGGCACCCCGACAATCCATGGTAATTGGAGTCATTTAGGGAATCATCACCAAGTGGTGCCGACACAAAGTGGTAACGACCTGAGTCAATTGGCCCGGCGCCGCCTCAGTCTGGTCCTTCGTGGCTTTTTCAGCCACCTGACAGTCGACTCAGGGTGGTTGAAAGGATGCCCAAGCAACCCATCTCAAGAGGGAAAGCAATAACAACACCTGGACCACTCTCTCTTGCTGCAGAGCCTAGCTGTTCCCACAGGTGTCACACAGGGACACTCCGATGGAATAGCTGCACCAACCTAAGGCCAATGCAGGTCGCACCAAAATAGGTGGACCTGTGAGCGTTTCTCTTCTTCACCCCTTCTCAGTGCAAGTCTTAAAAGCGGAGTTTCAGGTGTGCAGCCGGAATCTCGCAACGGCGCCTGTTTTCAGCACACGCAGGAACTTTGAAACGCTTATATAACCATATATAATTCCCTTAAGCTGCAGACTTTGATTTGTCTCAAATCCTATGTTAGTCAATGAAGGAGCCTCGGGCCCCAGTGAAGCTTCCCAGACTGAAGGCTGGGGCAAACTTGCTGGGAGTGCGTGAAAAACGAAACCTGTCCGATGTTGAAGCATGTTGCACAACAAACGTAGTTTAACGTTTAACTGAGGACGTGAGGACGTAACTATTATAGATGTCAATAACATCTATATGGCTGCAAACGATCTCAAAATCTTGATCTAAGTCTACAGCAACTTTTTGTTTATATAAATAACTTTATGTTGTAAATAAATTTCCCAGAAACCCATCTTGGGATCGAGTGATATTCCCTCGACGGGCCCCTGCAAAGCACGTAATCACTTTCAACACATCCCTATCGTGCCACACCATCCAGAAAGTCTTGGATGGATAGTTCTCCTTTCTCACATAATCTCACCTTCTCTACTTCTCATCAAACTCTCCATGTAAGCCAATATGGGCATCCCATGCACCACCACAAAACCACCAAATGTAGGCCATATTGGGATTGCTCGTCTTAGATTTTCGATCCTCCAACGCCTTCAATCTTTCGAAAGGACGTCGACCCAAAGGGAGTCGCCTCCAGGAGCCTCCAGTGCTCTGCCTGCAGCTGAAGATGGCACCACTTCTGCAAAGGAACCAAAATGTCCTGGAGTCTTAAGCCTTTGCATGCCAAAACGTATGCTTACACTATAGTAATTGTTATTATCTTTTATTGCCTCCCAGCGGATTTGGCATTCGTGACCTCCGAACATCTCAAGTTTGCCACCCTGGTCGGCCCTGCACCCGTACATGTCACGTCATCTTAGGCAAAACATCAACCCTAAGACCTATACCCCAAAACCTCACGCCGGAAAGGGAACCTGTTTCAGAATGGCCGACGGCTGGACTTGAACATGGAAGCAAAAAACGCTTAGTTACTGATGTAAGTGGATGATAGTGGATGTATGTGCTGGGGTCTGCTCTCACAGAACAACATTTTACGATGACCCCCCCTCAGATCCTGGATCTGTCTCGTGACCGGATCAGAATAGACCATCATTGTGCTACTGCACCAAGAAGTCTGCCCGGCGACGAAAAGGATCCGAACGAGCCTGAAGCTTCAGCATCTCCACTTCCTCTTTCAAACCTGGCGGGGAGGGTATCACTCCAGGTCTACTTCCAGGTCTTTCATGGTCTTTCACATGGTCTTTCACATGGTCCACCCCGCAGAAGTTGAAGTAAGTGAACCCTGACCCAGGCACCCTAGAGATCTCTAGAGCTCCTGTTGAAACTGAGGCAGTTGGAGCCTGGCTGTGATAAATACCCACCACATTTAGAGTGCAACCTCTTCCTAAGCTTGATTCATCAATAGTCTACATGAAGTCGATGAGGCCCAACGGCTGAACTCATGAGTGACACCAAGTCGACTTGGCGCCACGTCCGCCGCAGCCCACACCTCGCACGGCTGTCTCCTCCCTCAACGCTTGAGTCGCCAATTCGGAGCTCCAGCGTTCCTGTCAGCTCCAACTCCGTGAAGTCCGTCGAGTCCACGAGTCGGGCGAGCACCGCACATGAAGGGAGCTCTCCCTGGAACTCATGAAGGGAGCTTTCAGTGGATGGCACTTGTTTCGTCTTCGGACTCTTCGGATTTGGTCCGAACGAAGGGGGCCATGAGATCCACGGTCTCCCATGTGAGTTCGGAGTGGAAGTGAACTAGTGGCAGTGCTCAGAACACATCTTCCGCTCCCAAAAGATCTCCAACCAAAAGCTATAGGCATAACGGCGTCCAAAAGGCCCGGCTGCACTGGGCCCTGGGCACCTTTGCGAACTCGGAAGTGGAGACCCCCTAGTTTGTAAAGGAAGGTTTGCTTTGAAAGGGGCCATCATTTAGAGCGTATTTGGGGTGGCAAGTCAACTTTGAAGCAAACTGGCTTTGGCTACTGCGGCTACTGGGTTTAGACAGATCCACTCTGCAAAAAGATCCACAACATCAACGCCTTCATCGTGAGGCACACGCACGCACACACACACACACACACATATGTCGCGGGAACCACCTTCTAAGATTTCCAACTTGGGCTCTGTTCTAGACGCCTTGCATGACTGGATGATAAGGATAGTGGGCACTCCTCACCTTCCAAAAACCAACCTGCCCGGTCTGCCGCCACCTTTTCGTGGCAGGACGCCCGGACCCCGGATGCAGCTCATCCGCTTCGAAGTCGCCAGATGTGTTCGACCCGTCACGTCCAAGCCTTGCACTGAACCGGACCCACTTGGTCATCTGGGCGGTCGACTCCCTTCGCCGCTTCGCCTCACCATCGTGGAGCTCTTGCTGAGTCGCCTCCTGAGCCACTGCCCGCTGCGCCTGGGTAGCACGGCTGTGTCGACCTACGGAGTAGCACCGGGGGAGACCAGGAAAGGACCAGAAGTGATGCTTTGGAAGGTGGAGCAAATTCGGGAGGAGCCTCAGTGGAACAAAAAGGCTGGGATTGGAGTGTCTACACTATAGACGTGTCAGTGATGGTTTAACCAAAGAACTGTAACATACTGTAACTATATATTATAAAATATTGGGAATTCTGTATATGTCTGGGTTCTGACAAATGGGAGAGTGTTGGTAGATGAAGATCAACATTTCACATGTTTCGGTAGACTTAAGCATCATCACTATCACCAAATAATCATGTGTGGGTGAACTGCCTGGTTGCAGTCTGTGTTTCCCTCTTGATCGGAGAGCAGGAGTACCATCATGGTTGCTGGTCTGCCGACCGTTCTTCACCGGCGCATTCCAGCAAAGTTGGCGAACTACTCCCGCAGTGAAAACTTACAGTAGGTGAGCACTACTCTTCCGTACCCTCAAACGACTGATCCGATGGAATTGTAGATCACTCCCTGGATCTACCAAGTTGAACTCTTCCATCAAAAGTAGAAAGTGATGAGAAGAGAATCAGTGAGAAAGCGCAATTCACAAAAGCAAGTGTCGGGTACTGTTCAGCCCATTTCTGTCCCACAGGAATTCAAACACACAGCTTTTGGTTGGGAGCGTTGCAAAACCAAAAACCCTCCGCATCAGGCCACGTCAGACCTTCAACAGCTGGATGTGGCCGGGCCTGCATCTCCTCTTCCAAAACCTGACTCGAAACCGGCCTTTTGGAGTATTAAAATAGGGAGGCCTCCCAGTTCGACCCCGAAAACAAAACTCAAACATATTGCTTTGGCGGTCTCCCTATGCATCGATGCACACACGTTGGAAGGACACATTTGCCAGCCACCAAACGACCAAACGTTCGGTGGTCCAGAGCTTGGGAAGAAATGCTGACAATTGAACACGATGTTGTGATGCCGGTGGAGTTCTATCATGAATAACAATTATATAAATGAATTAAAGAAAACATACAATAAAGCAGATATGCACAATACGACATGTCAACACTCCCTGTCTTGCACATGCATCTCAGTGTTTTTCTGCAAATGTTCCTTGACCATTCTTTGTCACCTTTGTCACGCTGTGCGCGAAAAGAACCTCTCAATAATTACTGGATTGAAAAAGGTTCACCCTCTCTCTCTCTCTGCCTCCCCCTGTCCAATGTCCAACATGCCCCAGGGCTGCCTAAACAGCAATACGGTAATTACTCTGTGTTTAGGCGATTCGATTTCAGAATTTCAGGGATGTCAGGCAAAGGTGTTTTGGAACAATACATGTCTCCCAAGCCTGCCCCTAAACCCAACACCTCTCTGTGCAACATGTTTAACAGGTGCTCCCTTTTGAAAGGCTTGGGCATGACCCTGGTATTCTGAATGGAATCGCGAACCAATATGCGCTTGGAGTACATGCCGTAAGGGCCCAAGTAAAACCCAATAGGACGTTTATTTTTGAGTTCCACAGCCTTCCAAAAGCACGGTCAAACCAAAAACAATCAACCAGTATCAACCAGTCAGCTCTTCATTCAGACTCCCCACCTCGATAGCAGTTGCCTTTGACTGTTTTTCGCTGGCCAAGGCCTGCGAAACGCAGCGCCATTCTGGACGATGCTTTCGGAATGGAACGAACCCAAGCGAGCGCTACGTGTGCGAGCCGAGCGCGAGAACGACGTTCGCTCGATCAGGCGCCACGTGCGTCCAAACCTGGTGAGGTGACCAGAACCGATCCAACGAGGAATGCTCTGTCCTTCGACTTCGGTTGCGCAACAAGGGATTCCTCACTGAGATTCTCACACTCCGACTCACGAAGTGTGAGGCCAAGTTCTGCGGCTTGGTCGAGGACAACATGTTAGGTACGAGCATGGTGGCTAAGTCACATCAATCGGATTATGTCACATCATCCCAATGGTACGGCCTGAAAAGTTGGAAGTCACATCAGGGGCCCGAAAGTCACATCAGAAAATGGACTTCTGCATGGCACAGCCACAAACAGCTACTATGAGGAGTGTTGTATGAACAACAGCAAACATTGCGCACAACAGTAAATCCTGACACATTCTGACTTGTTCGAATGAAATTTGAAGGTAAATCACATTGGCACACCCCGTATTGGACCTTTCCATATACTTTTTGGAAAAACGTAGCCCCTATTGGCACAAGCACAAGAAGATGCTCATGATTTTCCAAGGTAAGATCTAAAACCCAATGGCACGCCGCCAGCAGACTATCTTACTATGTCAACAGTCAAAACTGGTCGCACAGCCGCGCATTGTGAATTGCAGACCCTGAAGTTGCCCCACCATTTCCTGTTCTCCTATGCCTTCTGCGCATCCAAGCGCATGCTTTTCTTCTCTCTGTTTCCGGCTCACTTCTGCGCAGGCTTCGCCATAAACTTGGATTTTCTCTGTTTCCCCCAACAGGTCAACCAGTCTAGGCGCTTCTCGCGGCTGCTAGTGATATCATCCAAGTCAGCCCTGAAATGGTGGGCCAAGGGTGCCTTCGGCACACGTTTCTTGAGTGATTCAATGTCAAAAGCTGCTATACTGGGAATGGTGATTCCACATTTCACCAGATTCCACACTTCACCAGATCACTGTGTGGAAATCCTTCCTCCAAAATCTCAACACAATGGCTGGCATTGTTCTTTTTCTGCGAGACAGCTCTACATTCTAAGCACTGCCACAAGGTTGGAGACGAATCTGGCGGGGGATCTGCTGGCGGAGCTAGTGATGGGCTTTTGAGAGGCCAAGCCAGCTGATGTCTGCAAAGCCGGCTCTTGCTCCTGCACATTCTCAAATTCAACCTCTTGCTTGGATTGACAATGAAAGCAGCATCCTGGCATAGGGCTCTTGTTGTCCGCAGAAATAGCCGAGCCGCACACCATGCAACCTGCACGTTGAGCTTGAGCCTGGTTTTCCGAAACATTGCGCGCAAAGCACGCCTGGCAGTACCCACGCAAGCAGCTGGAATTCTGCGGCAGCACTCGACACACGCTAGCATTGCAAGCGAGCTGGCAGCCGCAGGGCCACCAGCTCTCCTGGCAGCGCCAAACCAGGCGACCGAGACTGCTTTTCATAATGGATCCCATGAAGGGTGAATACGCCGGATAGATCAGCAGGAGGGATGATGACATTGAAGGTAAGGGCGATCATGGTGATGCGGTGATAATGAGCAGCCGGTGGAAGTAAATCAACAGCTCACACATGAGGATTCAACATTCAGCAAGGCTGCCCTGCGACAAAGTCACACAGAATACTGTCTAGACGCCCCATTTAGAGCACCAGGTTGGAGCCTTCACTTCAGCACCACCTTGCTCCAACTGAAATGGATGAGGGCCCTGGCACGAAATTGTATTCCGAAACAAAGTCGACTGCAATTACAACAACATCCAATAGCTTCGCCAGCCAAGACACAGCTGCGTACCAAGCATTCGGTCGGCACTGCAGGAGGATGCTTCGCCACAAGTGGAAACAAAAACGTCACAAAGGCCTAACCTGCAAATATTTGCGTACACGAAAGTCAAGCCGAACTTGCAAGGAACACCGTTGTGTGCAGTCAAGTAGTCTAAACAAATCCCTTGAACAATATTACTGAACATGTTTGCACTGGAACGCAAAATGCGCCAGCATCCCTACTATAGAGCAAATGGCAACGGATCCAAGGCCGTCAGATTCAATCATAGAAAGCTGCAACTTTTACCTAGCGCACAGCCAAAAAAAAAAAAAGTCAAAAAACAGGTAGGTTTTACAAAGTCCGAATCTTACAAATCTCAACTCTTGCCTAGCGCACAGCCTCCCGATACGACTTTCCAGGGGTTGATACGACTTAAGCCGACCGCTAGTATAACCCTGCATAAACCGGTTCGGGCGGTTAGGTCACCGAAACTCGTCCGAACGAACCCGGTCCCAACGACCCAAAGCCGCGCCTCGCGGAGCTGTTGCACCAGTGCTCCTGCAGCCATGGATGCCTGGGTCTCCCTGCTCACTCCCAAACGCTCCACGGGATTGACAGACCTGGATGCCTGGATCCTTCAAAAAAGACAACATCTTGGCCGAATGCATGTGGTTCAGTGAAGAAGACAATGTAATCAAAAGACATGGCCGTTTTATGGGTTGCTAACATGTGCTCAAAATATCTCAAATCCGTGCAAGCCTAAAGACTCCGTTTGGACGAAACAACAAAAAACGTGTCTTCTTGGACGAAACAACCAAAAAATTGTCTTTTTGGTTTCCGCCGGTTTCCGCCTGGTCACAACCCCCAAAACTGCATCTTTGGGTCTAAGACATCGTAACGCCATTGTTTTCTTGAAAAGGTCATGATCTGTCATGATCAAGAAGGCAATATTATCATTAGAGTCGAGCTCGTGAGAGCAAGAGTCAGTGCAACGAACATCGTACCAGTGGTAATCGATTTGCGCCGTCTCCAAGGTCCGTCCGTCTATAGGAACCCATTTGACCTCTGTTTTGATACGAAAAGACCATATTTTGGGTGGTTGGTGGTCCAAAATGGAGGCCATTCAGGTTCTAGGTACCTCTTCAAAGAACATGGGAGTGTCTGGGACTGGGAACTCCATTTCAAGACTGGCCATGGGAAGCTCCTCCAACGCCAGTTCCGAGTTCGAGTCCCATGTCATGAGCTTTGACACTGGACCTCCCATCGTCGGCTTCACTCTGGAAACATCTGCCAAGTAGTGCACCTAGCCTAGGACCCTACTGTGGGATGATTTTTCGAGTGAAATTCGGCTCCAAACACTCCATGTATGGAAGTATATACCTACATTGGCCCCAGGTCAACCACCCCAATGGGACTGCAAATATACCAGTCCCATGGATCGTATCTGGGGGCTGGTCTGGCACACCCTTCTTCACTCACCGATGTGAGCAACTGTGACTAACCAAGCATCATCTTGCATCCACCGAGGCGGCGACGGGTGTGGGCTGCCTCTGGGCATCTGGCCTGGCCCCCATGAAGCATCCATCAAGCCATGGAGAAGAGTGGAGAACATGAAGAAAAGTAAGCAGAAGCACCAACTATACATGATGATCCCCGGGTCCCACCAAGACAAAACACTCACACTTGCCACTTGAATGCATCTGGTTTTTGCTTTAGAGTTCTGCTAAGATGCATTAGCCCCAGGCATGGTACGCCAAAGTCACTCCTTTGCAGCTCACTCCACTTATTAGTCTATTTTCAGATTCTGATTCCATGTACTTTTGGGCTGTGCCAAGTGCAATGGTGTGCATGGAAGTGGAACATGGACCCTTGGAAGACGGGCTTCCTCTACTAATAGGCCGTTTGCCAATGACTGTTGGATGGAGGGTATGATTTGCACCCTTCTATGACCCACCAGCACGTCACCAGTCCTTGTGCATGCTTCTTCTGGCAGGAGTCGTATCCTGCCAATCGGCAGCCATGGTCGTTCGATGGAAGCGCACCCACAATGTCAGCAGCAAAAATCGAAGTTCAAAGCTGAATGTGGGAGGAATGTCTT